GGGAACCCTTGCCTATTTAACACTTCACCCGGGCGCCGGTGCAGCGGCCTTTGCACACTTGTCACTATATTTAGGGCATACAGCGCGTCGCTTCCAGGGGACGCCCTAGCATTAACACAATTTCTTAAAGGATTCATGTCATTATTGTTCGACAAGTTTTATGCTGGCTGTCGACTACCTAACGCAACCCTCCACTTTTCTCATCCAGGACTTGGGACCTGGCAATGGCAGTGTTTGACCAAATCAACAACCGTTTCACTATGAAATATCTAGGCCATGCACATACATTTCTAAGCATTCAAATTCAAACTCACCCCCATCACTACTTTCTCTCCCAAACTCGCTATGCTCTCTCGATAATCTATCAGGAAGGCCTTCAACAATGCAAACCTCTATCAAATCCCAGCTTCACAAAACCATCAACCACTCCCTTCTCCGATCCTGTAATTCATAATCCTCTCATCTACAAACAACTTACAAGATCCCTTCAATATCTTACCACCACGAGACGTGACATAGCATATGCAGTGAATGTCCTATGCCAACATATGTACGCTCCTGAACAACCACATTATCATCTTCTAAAACAGCTACTCAGGTACATTCAAGGTACATCACACCTTGGCTTACCAATCTATGGAGGGCCTCTAGTACTTCGATCATTCTCCGACGCCGACTGGGGCAGTGATACCACCACCAGACGTTCAACGACGGGATACTGTTCATTCCTTGGATCAACACTGGTGTCATGGAGCATAAAGAAACAACATACTGTAGCCCGGTCATCAACCGAAGCAGAGTATAGAGCAATCGCATCGGCCACCACTGACATACTCTAGCTACGCCGACTATTAACCGAGCTTGATGAAACACCACTAGCTTCAACTACACTTCTCTGCGACAACATGTCGGCAATAGCCCTAGCCAACAATCCGGTGTTTCATGCTCGGACAAAACATATAGAAATTGATCACCATTTTGTCCGTGATCACATTCAAACTAAGCACATCACTCTGCATCCGCTCAGCACAGTGGACCAACTCGCAGATCTATTCACAAAGCCTCTCTCAACCGGAAGATTCCAGCATCTGCGTAACAAACTAAAGGTTCAACCCGAACCGTCACTTTGCAAAGAAGTATTAGCAAAAGCTACAACAGCAACAGCTACAGTAGCTTCTTCCTCATCTCCGGTAGCAACAGCTACAACAACAAACCACGGCTCCACTAACGCTCCAACGGCTTCTGACATCTAGACCACATGGAATGATCATAGTGGTGTTAATAATAACAAACCAACCAATCACCTCCTTACACGTGTCATTAGCTTTAGTTATAAATACTCACTGTAGCAACTAAACCTAATGAATGAAATACAGTAAAATTGCTCAAAGGTTTCTCCTTTGTTTTCCTCTGCATTATCTTTGTCTTGCAGGTTGAAGAAATCCTTCTCCGTAATTCTTCAGTAATCTATGAATGCCTTTTCTAGACTACCAAGCCAACTCTCACAACAATAACAACAACAACAACATCAAGCCTTTATCCCACTACGTGGGGTCGGCTACATGAATCTTTTTTCTCCATTGTGTCCTATTAAAAGTTAAATTCTCGTTTAAATCTAATAAAGAAAGGTCATTCCTAATATTTTCTAACCATGTCTTTTTAGGTCTACCCCTACCTTTCTTAACATAAGTCAAATCTAATACGTTTACTCTCCTAATCGGGTCATCAAAAGGCCGCCGTTTTATATGACCAAACCATCTAAGGAGACTTTCTCTAATCTTATCTTCTACTGGAGCTACTCCAACCTTTCCACGTATATGTTCATTTCGTATCCTATCTCTAAGGGTAAAGCCACTCATCCACCTAAGCTACCAAGCCAACTCTCACTATCATACTTTTTTTATATTAGAAAACTAATAATAAACCTAGTCAAGGAATAGGCCTAGTTGGGGCTATGGATTCGACATCCTTCAGTTACTAATTTTAACAAATTGTTGGTCAAGAAGCTTAATCTGGTTCACCTCAATCAGGTCTGAACTAAAGACTGAATCTGATATTGATTGACGCCAGAGCTGAGCCGCTTAATCATCTTAACTTCAGCATAGTTTAATTCCATTTAGTTAGTATAACTATATAGATATAGTATTCCTTATAGTGGCATATAGCCTTGTATGTTACTTCCTTTGGCTATAAATACATAGCCAATAGGTAGACTTGAGATATGAATAAATTTGAGTTGTGTGTTGCATCATTCTTGTATCATGAGATTGTTCTTAGGTGATGGAATCTTTTTCCCAAGGAGTTCTTGGAAACTTGCTCCGACACGGTCACCCGATCATCGACGTGGATTCGTCGAGCCCCCTATGGTCCAGTGTCAATTGGTATCAAAGCCGGCAAGTTGCTAGTTTCTTGTCCATCGCCGTGTCCCATCCACTGCCAACGTCATTTGGTAGCGACACGTCTTCGGTAGTAAAGCAGCTTCGGTAGCGAATCGGCCTCAGTGGAAGAAAGAAAGCTCAAATGAAACAAGAAGAACATATCAAGAACAGCAGTTTAAGCCACCCAAACATTTGTCCTATTGTTCTGGTTTTCACGTCTGTCCAAACATCCACAACTATCAAGAAGCAGGCAAAGCTTCATCCATCTTGTGGTTGGTGCATGATATCGGCATATCGCCTAGGACTTCAAGACCGATCTACAAGTTTAAAGCTCCGCCATTGCTACTCTACAAGAGACCACGAGTAAGTACGCGCAAGCCAGTCGGTGGTGCGCACTTGCGTATGCAAGCAGGTTGTTCGAGCTGAAATAAAGAAGAAAATCCTTCCTAGTTTAACAAGAAGATCCTTCTTCTCTATTTTGGCCATGATATCCTCTGTGATCCAGCAGTTACCAAGCTTCAAGTGACAGACTTGGCATCATCTGCTTTCTTAGATGAGTATTCTCAGCACAAAATGAGGGTGGCAAGTTCTGCGATGTAATCACCAGCATAGCTCTCACCGATTATGAAGAAATCTCTGTTCTGGTACTGCGGAAATCTCTCTAACCAATTGATCAGAAGGTGCCATCAGCCGTGCTCTTGTCACCGGTGTTTTGGTAATCTGACCTTGTGTTGAGTGGGACAACACAACACTAGCCAGTGATTCCAAGAAGATCACATTTTGCCACATTATTCCACGCTGCTTCATTTGCCCAAGAAGACATTCTGTTCTAGCCAAAAATAGTCTGGCAAGATTTCAACTCGCCAGAATTATCAGCAAGAACTTCAAGTAGCAGAAATCGAATATCTTCTACAAGAAATTGCCCAACTCAAATTAAGATTGTCAAGAATTGAACGAAGATCCTTACGAACCGACGATGACAACAAGGGCATTTCAGATGATCATATCTCTTCCACCCCACCCTCGATCAAGTTCAGCTTTGAAGAATTTGAAGATCCGTTGCCGAAATCATTGTCTTTGCCTCTCTACAATGAACCCGTGTATGACGTGTATGATGACGACATGTTCTTTGGAGTTATTGATGTTGATAAGCCCATGTATGACGATGAACAGAGTAAGAAGGATGCATCGCTGGAGTTACATATGCATATTGTTCCTGTTAAGGCAATAAATGTGCTTGCCATCACTGATAAGGGAAATGCTCTAGGTAAACTACCTTATGAAGATGGAGATAAGCCACAAGGAGGTGACTTAAAAGACGGGTCATGCTACAAGGTTGTTGTTCACTTGGATTGCTATCATAGGCTTAAAGATCCCGCTGGTCCATGACGATGTGAGTTTTGTGAGGATACACCCTTACAGGAAAGTCGTGGGAATCAACAATTGGGTAGTTGTGAAAAGACTTCTTCTAGAGTCCAGTGTAGTTTATACAGTGGTGTTGACACCGGGTGGATTTATCCAGACCAGTTTAACCAACCAAACCCACCTCCTTATGGTGGCCAACCGGACATCTTCCTATGAACCTGAAGTTCCTCCTACCCCAGTAGAATGACGCTGGAGTTGAGCCGCTTAATCATGTTAACATCATGATAGTTTAATTACATTTAGTTGTTAGCATGGCTATATAGATATAGTATTCCTTATAGTGGCATGTAATCTTTTATGTTGCTTCCTTTGATTATAAATACATAGTCAACTCTTGATAGGCAGATTTGAGATATGAATAAAATTTGAGTTGTTTTTGTGTTATTCCTGTATCCTAAGATTGTTCTTAGGTGGTGGATTCTTTTTCCCAAGGAGTTCTTGGAGACTTGCTCAGACACGGTCACCGGATTATCAACGTGGATTCTGCAAGCCCCCTCCGATCCTGAGTCATTGATCATTAGGCATTATATCAAATATCCAAGCCCTAGGTGCAGAATACAATATCTAGGTGTGAAAAGATGCGCATAACCTAGAATAATTATGTTTCATATTTGATGCCAAATAATCTCTCCAATTTTAATAGCAACTGATTTGAAAAAAAAAACAATGAAAAATCGAAGGAGGATCCTGTAATCATAAATGCAGCAAATTTACAGATTTAAAGGAAAAAAAAAACTCTATGACTTACCATATTCTCTTGCATGGCTAATGAGCCCGTACTTGTTGGAGTAAATATCAACATATGTGAAAGATGCAAGAGGAAGTTCCTTTCTAAGCTGTATTACAGTATCATTTAGCTTTGAATTGAATAGCTGAGCCACTCCATTGAATGGAATTCCACAACCATTACGGTCTACCTCGGAAGCTTTCAAGGTCAGCCTATCCAAAACATAGGGGAGACAGCCAAAAGGACCGGTGTTGTGGATCCAAAAGTATCTCCCACCTTGCCAATATATAGTCTGAAATAAGAAAATTAGCATAAAAATTCATTAGGGATTATTAATTTTTTTAATTGAAGAAAAATTTGGGTAAAACAAAGTTTGGGGGTTCATTTAGGCTTTGTTTTGGACGGCTTTCTTTCTACTTCTTAAAGCAGCTTTCTAGTACATAATTTTTTAATTAGAAAGCTACTTCAAGAAGTAGAAAGCAAGCCGTCCCAAAGGAAGCCTTAATTTTTGTATGTTAGAAATATAATTTGAAAGATAATGAAAATAATTGATGTCAATATTTAGTAAGAGCTAAGTTGTACAAACACCTGCAAAATCCTTAGAAAATGATTTTATTTTGTACACAAAATAAATGAATATAAAATCATCATTTAAAAAACATATCTTCTTTTGACAAGCGATCAGATTAGCACTTATGTTTATTTGTTTTTCAGATTTAAGTCATGTTATTTACTTACACAATGCCACTTTTTAAGAAACGGCTTTCCCAACTCTCCTCCAAAGAATTTAATTGTATTTACCTTGAAAGAAAGTTTATATTGTTGGTCGTTTTATAGCATCCAACAAGAAGCTAATTTATGAATCTTAACCGATAACCTTTTGTCAAAAAAACGTAGCTTTTTTTGAACCGGAAGAATTGTTGAACTTCCTTCACCCAAACAATCTGTGTATACTTTCTATGAATTTATCCGACAGCAAATTAGGCCAAAAACTGAACCAAACTACGAAAGCTGACTCATTCGGTACAGTTTTTCTTCTATATTACTTCTCAAAAAACAAGGTTTTTTGTGTAGAAATGCACTTTGAAAATCCCATTATGCTCGGGCACCCTCTCCACAATTTCAACAGCATATGAAACACATATGGAGTAGCTTGCCAGACTATATTACGTAGGCCCTAAAATGACCTTCATGCACCTCATATTCAAGAGAAAATAAACCAGCCATGAAAGACCGCGTAAACGGCAGATAGAATGCAACTTAGAAATTTCTCCTCTCCAAGGATTTCATTTTTATAGTTCAAAGGACTCCTAGGATTTCATTTTTTATAGTTCAAAGGACTCCTAGAAATTTATTCAAAGTAGATATAGTTTGATGACCAGTGTTTTTCGCTAACTTAGTGCAAGCCTACAAAGGATTGATGATGGTCAATTAACCATATTAAAAAATATTTCCACATAAAAATTTTTAAGGGAAAAAAGTAGACTATGATGATTATATATCATCATATAACATAGAAATAATAGAGCATTAACTCAGTTGCTAAATAGTAAGTTTAACTATGGATGCTTCACTTCGACTAATCAAGCCTCTAGTGATATCATATTATATCATGTCCTTAGGGTTAATTTGGTTGTTCGTACGAGAAAAGCACATTTTGGAAAATTATTATTTAATTTTCTCAATTTCTATGCAAAAAACTAAATCATTATGTTTAAGGATATTTTAAAACATAAGTTGACTTTTAATTCATCCAACCAAATAAAATTTAGTCGCTTTGTAAAATGTGTTTTTTTTTTTTAATTTACAAACAATCAAACAATCCCTCAGCATCAAGCATCCATCCATACCTTTATTGCGACAGCGAATTGATCGAGAATATCAGGAATATTTTCTTTAACTTCTTCAGTTGTCATCCCAAGGAAATAGCCTGCCGTGAGGTCATTCTGACCAATGTCAAAGGTGTAAAGTGCCTTCGAAAAATATTCTTCATTTGGCAACAAATCTCTGAAAACGGCTCCTATAAGTTTTTCAAATTGCATTTATATAAGAATAAATATTATATAGATTCGGATAGGAACGATAGATTTCTCATAAATCTTAAACGAAGAACGCTTACCTTGTGAGTAGAAAAACTGGGATCTGGACTTGAACTGAGTGAGCTGCCAGGTTTGAACATCCAAAGAGAAGGGACTATATCCACTTTGAAAAAGTGTTGTATTTTGTCTCCTTATGGTTGAACCAGCAGTGGCAAAATTGGCTCCATGGGAGAAATTAGTCCCAATTGAGTTAAGATAAGCACTTAATAAAGGAAGTCCAAGGCTTTCAGCTGAGAAGTTACATAAACTATAGTGGTTAGATGTTTGTTTTCTAAGGTACAATCCTTGAAAAATATTGCCACAGAATTCAGAGACTATGGTGTTAACTAGCAGAGCGAGCTCAAGTTTTGTTTGGCTCAGCTTGTTGGGGAAACAAGCACAGATTTATTGTTCATTCAGCTCATTTGCTTATTGAGCCAAGTTAATTGCAAACATCAAACCTAATTAAAGTAAAGATGACAAGTATGTGAGTGATATAAAGTAGATGCAGAACTTGAAAAAAAATCTTGGTTGAATATTCAATTTAAGCAAATTAGAAATTGATGAAAAGTAAACGATGAAGAAGAACACTCAAGGAAACTTTTTATTATATTATATATGAAGGAAAAGACAAGATACATATGATATATGATTAGAGAGGTAGATCGGCTCTCCCAATCAACCTGGATGCCTCTAGGAAGCCGTAAAAAAAAAGGAACTATAACAAAATACAAAACTCAGCAATAGCATACCTAAACCCTAGACAACTCCCCCTTAAATTGGCCTATAACATAAAATCATAAATTGAACCTTTCTAGATAATTTAAACATGATTTAGGAAACATTCATAAACAATTAAACATGATTTATAAAATCTTCCTAAATAATTATACATAATTTAGAAAATCATCCTAAACAATTAAAGATATTGATATTTTAGAAAATTTTTCTAAAAAATTAAACACTTCCTAAATAACATAAATATAATTAGGAAACTTTCCTAAACATCTTCCAAATCTATATTCAAATCAGCTCTCTTTTCTTAAATAAATCATTCCTAATTTCCTCCTTAATATAAATTCAAATCATCTAGCTTTTCCTAAATAAATTTTTCCTAATTATTTCTCCACTGATTTCTCCGCCTTACATAGCGAATATTAACTTCCGTGGGCCCCCCCCCCACCCAGCTCCCCCTAAACAAAAAACCCTTATTTTCAAGGTCCAGCTGATGTAACAAAGTAATCTTTCAATACTCGTTACAAACCCTATGTGTTTTTGGTCATGCCATTTTGGGTGACTAATGCACCCGTTGTCTTTATAGATCTGATTAACATAGTATTCAAAAATTATCTAAATTAGTTTGTGATTGTTTTCATAGACGACATTTTTAAATATTTTACTTCTGAGGAAGATCACGTCTAATATCTGAGGATTGTATTGGAAACTTTGAGGCAACATCAATTATATGTCGAATTCTTCAAATATGAGTTCTGGCTGAGGAGTATTTCTTTTTGAGACACGTGGTGAATGGTGATGCTATCTCTGTTGATCTCCAGAAAGTTCAGGCAGAGGCTTACTACTGTGTTTGAGATACATAGTTTCTTGGGTATGGCTAGATATTATAGGAAGTTTGTGAAGGAAGTTTCTCAGATTTATGCATCTTTAACGAGACTAACTCAGAAGTCAATAGATTTTGTCTGGACACCGGAATGTGAGGCTAATTTTTAGAGATTGAAGGATTGTTTGACTTCTGCTCAAATTTTAACTCTTCCATCTAGCATAAAAGGATTTCAAGTATTCAGTGATGCTTCACTGAGAGGTCTGTGATATGTTTTGATGTGGCATGGAAGAGTTATAGCTTAAGCTTCCATATAGTTGAAGCAACATGAAAGAAACTATTCAACACATGATCAATAGTTGGATGCTATTGTATTTGCCTTGAAAATTTGGCGGCATTATTTATATGGTGGCAAGTGTGAGATTTTTACTGATCATCAGAGTTTAAAATACATATTCACTCAGAAGGATCTGAATCTGAGACAAAGGAGGTGACTCAAGTTGATCAAGTACTATGATTGGACTATTCAGTATCCATCTGGTAAGGCTAATATGGTGGCAGACACTCAGAGCATAACTATGACTCTAATTTGGCACTCTTGCACCAAACACATTGATGTGAGACACTATATCATTAGAGGCCATATGACAACGGGAGATGTGAGCAAAAAATTTGTAGACTTAGAGAACCAATTGGATGATATTTTCATAAAACCAGTAAATTATGAAAGATTCAATGCACTTAGGAATAGGGATTATCAATATAAGTTTATAGGTAAGTTGAGTAGACATATGCTTTTATGTGTTTATTTTTTTGTTTGTGTCCTTATGGCTTTATGTTTATCTCTATTTTATGATCATTTCTAGTTTGTGGTTATTTGTTTTATGATTATTTCTTTCTATTGTAATTATTTTCAGTTTATGTGTTTTTTATTGTTTGGTTTTTTGTCGCAATTTTGTGTAATGTATTGTATGCTTGACTTTGTGGAAGTGTTCCTGATCTTCTTACAAACTCTAAAAAATTCTTCACTTAATACTGTACGATACACATCATATTGCATGATACATATAATAATCATTTTAACTATTTCATGAAATCATTATTATCAATCATACTATATAAATAAGTCACCGTACTATATGATTCATTGGTAAAAGAGTCATACAAATGACTCATTAGGACGAACAAAAAGAGGAAGATCGTACTGTAGGATCCATGATTATTCTAGACGATTTGACCATTTTTTGTATGTTCCCAATGGAATGGTTTGGACGCACTTGATCGGACAGTACGATCCCCTGATCGTACTAAACAAAGGACTCGAGCCAATAAGTAGGGGCCTGAATCCCTATACATTTCATACCTTCAAATCATCCAACCCCCTACACTCTAAACGTGACATTTAACCTTTTCTCCTTCAAAGGCTCATAATTGAGGTTGATTGGGTGCACCAAGGCCTAGGCTTGATGATAGGTTCCAAAGAGAAGTAGATCAAGCAGCTTATGAGAGATACCTGAATGCCTCCATTACTGATTCTAAAGTTATTGATAAAGAAAGCCTCTCTTACCAGGTATTAGATTTGTTTTTTGTCATTTCATTCCAATTTCATATCGCCAGTCCCCACCACACTCAACTCTTCCTAAATTTTTTTGCAAATATTAGAATTAGTGCGAGCCTTACCACCATGCAATCTTTTGTTTGTCAGCATCAAGTAGCCATTATTGATACAGATTTGCACAAATATTTCCACCTCACTAACGTAGGTGAAGCACGTCATGACCCCAGCCCCAGGAGGATCAGGCATCGTTTCAAGAAAAGTTCTCCACCATTCACAATTACTTTCAACCACCACCACCATAGTTTCTTTCTATTTTTATTTTGTATTTTTTCTTTGCTTGTTCTTCCCGTTTTGTGATGTCAAAAGGGGAATGAGTATAAGGTGTTGGTTGTAGTGGTAGGTGTTGTTTGTACTGGTTTATTGATCATTTATTTATTGTGTTATATTTGTTTTGATGTTTCTAATGCAAAGTCAACATTCTTACTTTGTTCATATATATGTGTTTGTTTTTTGTTTTATTTTTATATGTTATTAAAAATTTAAAAGAAAATAAAAAAAATTAAAAATAATTGAAAATTCATAAGTATTTTCAATATAAATGAAAAAGAGCATATAATGAAGGGGAGAACTAAGCAAGGAATTAAATACTACAATAACAACAACAACATCAAGCCTTCGTCCCACTACGTGGGGTCGGTTACATGAATCTTTTTTCTCCATTGTGTACTATTAAGAGTCAAATTCTCATTTTCTAAAACAAAGGTTATTTTAAATATTTGCTAACCAATTATTTTTAGGCCTGTCTTTACCTTTTCTAATATAGGCCAAATCTAATACATTGACTCTTCTAACAGGGTCATTAAAAGGCTGACATTTTACATGACCAAACATCTAAGGCAACTCTCACTAATCTTTCTGTCACTGGAACTACTCCAACCTTCTCCCAAATATTCTTCTTTTGTATCTTGTCCCTAAGAGTAAGTCCACTCATCCACCTGAGCATCCTCATTTCAACAACACTTAACTTAATATTATGCTTCTCTTTCAATGGCCAACATTCTACGCCATAAAGCATTACAGGTCTCACCACCATCTTATAAAATTTTTTCTTAAGATTGAGTGGTACTTTTCTATCACACAACAAACCTGAAGCATTCCCCACTTCAACCATCCAACTTGAATTATACTAATAATATCTTCATTTATTTCACCATCACTCTGAACAATAGGCCCAAGATATCTAAAACGAGTACACCTATTAATGACTTGATCACTCAAACTCACAATCCCCCCACAAGAATTAAATACTAACTTATAAATTTAAATTCAAACCAACAATATTTGTCATCATAAAAAATGGAGAGATGGTTGAAATCTGTGAGCCCGATCTATTATTTTGATGATTATAAATATTATTGATTAGTACACTAATTATTTTTTAATATATATATATTATATATATATATAATTCTTTTCTAGGTGCTACTAACATTTCAGGTACAACATATATGGAGCCAAGTCAAAGAAGAGAACTCAAGAAATTTTAGCATGGAGGTTAGTCCAAAACATGTACTAAGAGTCTATATTTTAATTTCCTTGAGTTTTTAGATAATTAGATATATGTTGGTAAGACAATCAACCACACACTCATAATTAGGGATGAAAATTAAACACTTATATTCTTTGTTATATCGTACTATATAATTAGTTGTTTTAAATTAAATATTAATTTTCAACATAATTAATCATATTATACGACCTCGGACCATATAAAACGATGAATTATTTTGATAATTACCCACTCTTGAGTCTTAGTTTCCAAATTTAGGCAAATTTAAATTTGAAATTTCGACCAAATCGTACTTTACAAACCCTATCATGAGGGAGTCACACGATTATCCTTGTCAACTTACACCTTTGGTCCTTTGGGTTGTGGTGTTGAAGCTCTAGGGAAGAAGAAGCCTTGCACGCGAAAAACTTGTGACTAGTAGAGGAGATGAGAGGAACAGCAGCTCCACCATTGTGAGCAGGAGGGAGTAGCATCTCCGCCGTTGTGAGGAGCAAAAGGAGGGAGTAAAATCTCCAACATTGCAAGAAACAGAAGGAGGTTTTTAGGCTTTTCAAGAGGAAAAGCT